TTGCATTTATTCTAAAACTGCTACTTTTTTATTATTCATTTATTTTTATTTAAAAGGCAGGGTTCCAGTGAAGCAGAGGCAGAGAGAGAGAGAGAGAGAGAAAGAGGGAGAGAGAGGGGTCCTCCATCTGCTGGTTCACTCCCACAGATGGCTGCAACAGCCCGGGCTGCGCTGATCCAGAGCCAGGAGCCAGGAGCTTCTTCTGGGTCTCCCACGTGGGTGCAGGGGCCCAAGGACTTGGGCCATCTTCTTTTTTTTATTTTTTTATTTTTTTATTTTTTTATTTTTTGCCAGGCAGAGTTAGTCAGTGAGAGAGGAAGACAGAGAGAGAGTTATAGACAGTGAGAGAGAGACAGATTGGTTCACTCCCCAAATGGCCTCTACAGCCAGTGTGCTGCGCTGATCCAAAGCCAGGAGCCAGGTGCTTCGTCCCAGTCTCCCATGCAGGTGCAGGGACCCAAGTACTTGGGCCATCCTCCACTGCCCTCCCGGGCCACAGCAGAGAGCTGGACTGGAAGAGGAGCAACCGGGACTAGTACTTGGCGCCCCAACTGGGACTAGAACCTGGGATGCCGGCGCCGCAGGCAGAGGATTAGCCAAGTGAGCCATGGCGCCGGCCCTGGGCCATCTTCTACTGCTCTTCCAGGCCATAGCAGAGAGCTGGATCAGAAGTGGAGCATCTGAGACTCAGACTGGCACCCATATGGGAGGCCGGGGCCTCAGACGGTGGCTTTACCCACTATGTCACTTCTGTGCCAGCCACAACTGCTTATTTTTTAATTTCTTTATCTTTATCGTACATTATGTAGTTAATATAATTCTATTTCCTACAGGAAACATCTGTAGAATTACTGTGAGAATCCCTCAACAAGCCAGAACTATCATGTGCCTATAATTGTAATTTTTAGTATCCGCTGATAGGAAGGAAACAGATCACTGTTTATTATCCATCTTCATTCCAGCACTGAGGAATCTGATACTCATACTCGCACAGCAACCCGAACTTTTCAGGATATTACTGAGATAAAATATATAGTAAATTGAGAAGGAAGTCTAGAGACTGTAGCGACACAAAAGGGAAGGTGTCTGTTTTCTTCTTTAATTTCACCGGATCCTCTCCATGGTTTATACTGTGAACAATAAATATGGGTTGTAGGCCTTAATTAGAGCAGTGGCACCCGTGTTCACTAGGAAAAGACATTCTGTTTCTTCTCATGGTCATTACCATACTAGGTCACACAGAGCTCTGTCTTTCTACATTCTATATTTTTTTAATCTAAAATCTAATTGCTGTATTCTGTGTCATCTATTCTAATTATTTGCATATACCAAGAGTCTTCAAACATCAGAAAATGTGTACTATGAGAAAACTATTCATGGATTTGAATCGTTTTTGTATCAAAATAAACATCTTTTTTTTTTTTTGACACGTGAGGTGGAGTTAGACAGTGAGAGAGAGAGAGAGACAAAGAGAAAGGTGTCCCTTCCGTTGGTTCACCCCCCAAAAGGCCCCTAAGGCCGGCATGCTGTGCCGATCCAAAGCCAGGAGACAGGAGCCCGGAGCCAGGTGCTTCCTCCTGGTCTCCCATGTGGGTGCAGGGCCCAAGCACTTGGGCCATCCTCCACTGCCTTCCTGGGCCACAGCAGAGACCTGGACTGGAAGAGGAGCAGCCGGGACAGAATCCAGAGCCCCAACTAGGACTAGAACCTGGTGTGCTGGTGCTGCAGGCAGAGGATTAGCCAAGTGAGCAGTGGTGCCAGCCTAAACTTATCTTTTAACTCTTATTTTCCACAAACTTTTTTGAAGTACCCTTGTACAGTCTAACAGTATGGGGCATGAAACACTTATGTAAGAATGTTCTTGAGCTGGCGAACTAGGGGTCACTGACTCATCCAGGGAGTGCATGGCACTGGGTAAGGGAGGTATCATTTTTTCACCCTGGACTCCAATCAAGAAGCATCTTTGCTACCTAAGGAAGAGAAATATAATCCTTCGCATTGCCCAAGAGCAGAGACAACAGCTGGGTAGAGGCAGCACACATGGAGACAGATGGCTTTGACTGGAGAGGCTTGTCTAGAGCTAATGGACACGGGCCATTTCTGGATTACCGTTTTACATCTCCAGTCCATGTAGGGATCAGACATACTTAGCTGTCCAAGGCAAATACAACTATAACTAGAGATGTCGGAGAAAGACAGCAACAGAGGCTAAAAGGAGTAGCATTACTACTAAGGATACACATCATCCCCATAGCTTACTAAGTCACTCTAGAAAGGACACACCAAGCCTATTTTGAAGGCAGTCTTGGCTTTAACTTTCAAAGACCAACTGGAGGAAAGAAGATCTTAAGATCTCAAGATGTTTCTTGGTGACAGATAATAATCTCTCATAAGTCACATGCTCTGCCTCATTTCTGTTATTTGAATTTACAAAGATTACACCAAAGTTCAGGGGTGGTTTTAACCTTTGTAATAAGTTTGATCATGTAACAGAAACCTGCACAAAGGCCATGAAGAACCAAAAGTCACAAACTAAGGTTTAACCAAGGAAATAGTTTCTCTACTGAACTAGTTGGTTTATGATCCATACAGCAAGACAGATGGAGGGGAGGAAACTATGTGTACAATAATTATTGATTTTCTATGTGTCTAAAATTATTGATTTTCTATGTGTCTATGTAGGATCAATGTAATGAGAGTGACAGAATCCCTTCAAACAATTTTATGACAGGTTTCAAGAGTGACTTTCATTTAAGAAGTGATCCATTTAGCGTCTCATCATCTCAAAGTAATTACACCAATATAACTGCAGTTAAGCAAATGTTAGCTAAAAACATTCCTTAAATCCTACAATATTTAAAAAAAATTTTTTTTGACAGGCAGAGTTAGACAATGAGAGAGAGAGACAGAGAGAAAGGTCTTCCCTTTTCTACTGGTTCACCCCCCAAGTGGCCGCTACAGCCGGTGTGCTGCACTGATCTGAAGTCAGGAGCCAGGTGCTTCCTCCTGGTCTCCCATGTGGGTGTAGGGCCCTAGCACTTGGGCCATCCTCCACTGCACTCCCGGGCCACAGCAGAGAGGTGGCCTGGAAGAGGGACAACCGGGACTGGAACCCTGGGGTACTGGCGCCGCAGGTGGAGGATTAGCCTATTGAGCCGCAGAGCTGGCCAAATCCTACAATATTTTAATGTATCTGTTTGATGAATATATTTTTGACACTGAACATTTATTAATTGCACAGTAAACAAAATTTCTACTGTACATTTGAATTAATTATAAGTTGGCACATGTGTATTTCAGTAAAAATGACAGAAAATGTACCTTGAATCTGGAAAGGAAAACACGTGTTAAAGTAATTTTCTAGAAGAAAAATCAAGATGATGGGGAAGGCATTTGTCCTAAGAGTTAAGATGATAATTGGTATTCCTGCATTACATGTTGGAGTGCCTTGGTTAGAGTTCCAGCTCCACTCCCAAATCCAGCTTCCTGCTAACACACACCCTGAGAGGTAGCAGGTGAGGCCTTCCACCCACATACGTGACCCAGACTGAGTTCCTGCCTTCTGGACTCAGCCTGGCGCAGGCCTGGCTATTCTGGGCACTTGAGGACTAGATCATGGATGGGCGATGTCTATCTATCTGTCTCCCTCCCCCTCTCCGGGTTTCAAATAATAAAAATTTTTTTTCTTTTAAAAATCAAGGTATGGACCAGTGTTGTGGCACAATAGATTAAGTAAGCTGCCAGCATCCCATATAGGGGTACCAGTTTCCACCTTCTCTGCTTCTGATCCAGCTTCCTGCTAATGCACCTGGGAAAACAGCTGATGATAGCTTAAGTAATTGGGCTCCTGTCACCCATATGGGAGACCAAGATGAGGTTCCTGGCTCCTGGCTTCAGTCTGGCCCAGCCCTAACTGTTCTGGCCATTTGGGGAGTGTACCATTGGATGGAAGATCTCTTTCTCTCTGTCTCTCCCTTTCTCTTTGTCACTTTGCTTTTTCAAATAAATAAAAATAAAAGTAGAATAAATTTTATAAGAAAAGATACTTTTATTTATTTTTAAAATAAACCATAAACTTTAGCCATAAATAAAACACTGAGCAATGGCTCAATATTTCACTTGATTTGCCTTTGAAATTAAAGCCACTATTATTTTTATAGTAACATGATTAAAATTAAAACTAGAATTCTTTAAAATTTTAAGTAAAGTGAAAGTTTGGAGAATATTTAGTCTTATAACTGGATATAAATGTCATAGTGGTCAGGTATGAATTATATAAATAGAAATAGAAATTCTTACTCAAAAACGAAGATTAGGAAAGTAAGCTGCTATAAGATTAATATAATCACTTTTCTGAATAGGCAAATGATCAAACTGTCATGACATATTTTGGGTTACAGAAGTTTTGCCCCCTCCACTGACAAAATAATTATATGTATTCTGCATTTTCTCAATTAGGGAAACAAAATTTTACACATTAGCATCTTTATTCTATCACATCTACAGTAATTTATATTTTCTCTTATTCAGATTTACTTAAATTCTACTAATTGTGTTATTTTTATAATTAAGAAAAATCAATAAGGTGAATTATATTTTGAAAAAGAAAAATTACATTTTTATGTGACATTTTATTTTACATCAAGGAGGCAAAATGCATCTCATGTATTTCTACCCTGCTTTAAAGTACTCGGGAAGCTCTACTACTCTTGAGCATTTTCTATGTTGGAGGCCAGAAATAATTCTGATTGAGCAGAAATAAAAGCATATACTAAAAAATATCACCATCTGTTGAACATAGGAATATCCTGAGAAGTCTGAAAGAACATAACCTTGAATTAAATGTGCTAAATAAAAAAGTGCTTTTTACATCATCAAGCAACTCCTCTCCCACCACAAACTACAGAAAGAAATGCAAGCAACAGAGTCTGGAGATGTGAGAGCATTAAGAGGCATGCTGAAGGGTGCATGTAGTAGCCTACAGAGCAGCAATAACATACCTTGGTCTGTGGAGATGGTTTTGGCACGTCTTTTTCCAAGTCTTTTGTTAAAACTATGGGCAGGGAATTCTTATGACTGGCCTCCTATCAAAGAAATATAAGAGAAACATTAAAGAACATTTACCTTAGCCAGAAACTGCAAGGCAGTGAACAGTGATTTTTAAGGGAGACAGCATTTTTAGATTGAGTTGCTCACGTCAAAAGCTGGTTAGATGGTACTGAAGAACCAAAACCTTTCCTTTCTTCATGGTCACATTCTACAGTGAGGTAAGACAAGTTGGTACTGGGATACAAGTGGGACACACAGTACATACATACTCAAGGCAATTGCCAAAAATCTTATCTACACTGACCTGCCACTATATCATTCACATATGTATCTCCACTACAAGAAGCTCTGGCTTTTTTTTTTTTAAATATAAATTAAATCTCCAAAATATCAATGAACAAACTTAGAGTTGCCAGCTTTCCCCACAATATTTCACAGATGGGTTCTAATTCTTTTCCTTTTTTTTTTTTTTTTTAAGATTTGTTTTATTCGAATCAAGGTCTTCAGCAACCAGGTGGTCAACCAAATGCTGCTACAGGGATATACTTGACTCCTCCTCACATAGGAGACAGAGGCTTGAGACATTGCCCCCATGCCAGCCAAGAGTACCTCAATGCCCCATGTCAGCAGGAAGTAGCTCTAAAGACAGATCATCGTCCCTCTACCCTTCCTGGACTTTTGGGACAGATGTAATCCCATACAACTCCTGTTTTATAAAAAACACAACGGGGGAATGTTAGTAAAAGGTATAGTCTTTATCTATGGCGCGATCTACACCCTGATACCATCGTAGGCTCTAGCCAGGTGGCCACATGGCCCAACCACCGGTGTCAAGCTCCACCCTCCTAATGGGATTCGCTGGTCCTACTTCCCTGCCCACCCCCTGGCAAAGTTTTAAAAAGGATCTGTTCCTGAACACTTGGCTTGCGTGCGCTCACGCTCTTTCTCTCTCTCTCTCTCTCCTCTCCATCTCCTGACCGCTGTCTCTGTCTCTGTCTTATGCTCTCCTTCTCTCTCTTTTCCTTCTTCGCTCCTTCCCTCCAGTCTGTCAGGTTTACCCCAATAAACTCTTTCCCTTAAAAAAAAAAAAAAGATTTGTTTTATTTACTTGAAAGGCAGAGTTACAGAGAGAAGGGGGAAGAGGGGTAGAGGGAGAGAGGGGAAAAGGGGGGAGAGAGAGAGGGAGGGAGGGGGGGAGAGAGAGAGGGAGGGAGGGAGGGAGAGAGAGAGAGAGAGAGAGAGAGATGGATCTTCCATCTGCTGGCTCACTCCCGAATGGTTGCAACATGGGACAGTTGGGGTTGGGCTAGGCTGAAGCCAGGAGCTTCTTAGGTGTCTCCTACTTGAATACAGGGCCCTGGATCAGAAGTAGAGCAGCAGGGACTCAAATTGGTGCCCCTATGGGATTCTGGTGCTTTTATCTACTACACCACAGGGCCAGCTCAGGTTCTAATTCTTTATACATCTATCTTTGTTTTGTTTTGGTTTTAAGATTATTTAGGGGCTGGTGCTGTGATGTAGTGGGTAAAGCTGCCGCCTGCAGTGCTGGCATCCCATATGGATGCTGGTTTGAGTTCTTGGCAGCTCCACTTCTGATCCAACTCTCTGCTATAGCCTGGGAAAGTAGTAGAAGATGACCCAAGGCTTTAGGCCCTGCACCCATGTGGGAGACCCAGAAGAAGTTCCTGGCTCCTGGCTTTGGATTGGCCCAGTGCTGGCCATTGTGACCATTTGGGGAGTGTATCAGTGGATGGAAGACATATTCTCTCTTTGTCTCTCTGCCTCTGTAACTGTGCCTTTCAAACAAATAAATAAATCTTTAAAAAAAGATTTTATTATTTGATACACAGAGTTACACAGAGAAAGGGAGAGACACAGAAAGATCTTCCATCTGCTGGTTCATGCCCTAAATGGCTGCAACAGCCAGGACTGGGTCAGGCCAAGGCCAGGAGCTCCTTCCCGGTCTGCTATGTGGCTTCAGGGACACAAGGACTCAGGTCGTACTCTGCTTCTTTTCCTAGGTGCATTAGCAGGGAGCTGGATCAGAAGTGGAGCAGTCGTGTTAGGAACAGCACCCATATGCATTGCTGGCATCTCTGGCAGCTTTACCTACTATGCCACAATTCCAGCCCCTGTACACCTTATCTTCAACAAATTCCTTCAGCTGATTTTTGCAAACCACTACTGAACAGCAACAGTTCCATGTGAGTACCCTAAAGTGAAGAAAAGTATCTGGTTCCAAAATTATTAAATGCCTAAGTCCTTGGCTCACATCAAGGCAATGTTTGCAAAAATAAGGGCAGAGATTACAAGGAGACAACTTAGAGTTGGATAGATTTACTACTTATTTCTAAATGATCAACAGAAATAATAATCTTTATTATTTAAATCAACAATGTAGAGCCTCTCTTCGAAATAGCTACTGACTTGAATAAGTTTTCCCACAGATGATTCTATTCCCAAATTAAGACAGAGTAAAACACCTGAGATAATAATAAAGCTGAGAAAGTCAGATTTCCTTCACTTGTTCCATAACCTCAACCTCTATAACCCATTTCTTCTTCATTCTAAGACTTTATCATCCGTACCATGAGTTTCTTTTTCCCGTTTACTTTAGGGTTAGTTAATTACAGACTTTTAGACAAAATTTAAGTCTGCAATATTTATAACACTTGTGAAATTATATTCAGTTATTTCTAAAGGGAACAATATAGCATTAGGGTAAAATGTCTCGGGGGGAAATAACAATCTTTCTTACTTCTTAAAAAATCTTGACCCTAATGATCTCTCAGGCATTGTGCCAAAGACTTCGTATTCATAAGGCCATCCCCCACCTGCCCATAGTCCTTTTAAGGATAATACAACCAAGACTTATGAAAGATAAGCAAATCTGCCAGTGCCTCACAGGACTCAATGATGGTTCTGTATAGCTTTAAGACCTCAGCTTATATTTACTTTACATAGTACTTTTCATCTCTAATATAACTGATCTCTTAAAGAGCCATTAAACAGTGGGGCAGTAACATTTTAAACCCCAAAGGGATTTTTTAAAGTATAGTACCCCTTTAGTTTTTACACAGAGGAATTGGACCCTGGGGTGATGTTCTCCAGATCACAGAGAGAACAGTGGGGCTGAGCTGTGTGCCTGGACCACAGGGCTGCGCATGGCACCTGTTTTTGGGTTTGTTCTAGGGAACATTCCCAGACTCCCGGGGAACTGGAAGCCTCTTCTAAGCTGGGAATAGCTGCAGGTGCTGCCAACTCTCTCAGCTGCCAGTGGCCTCGCATACAGCCCTAAGCAAAGACCTAAGGGTACATCTGAGACCAACAAATCAGTGTACATTCTGGTCCTACGCTTTCCCATCAGTCACCACACCTGCTAGTGAGCCACTGACTGGAAATAGTGAATGAATCCATTTCTGCTTCTGACTCACTGTGAGAGGGATAAACTATATCCAGCATGACATTTAGAGCAGTCAAGTGATTAACTGTCTAATTCACTGCGTAATTTGACTACACTTAGATAATATAATAAGTGTTCTTCACCTTTGTGCCCACTCCACTTTAACCTACCAGTATGTAAATGCTAGAAAACGATGAGAAGAAACAGTGTGATGACTAAGGGAAGTTAGTAGGAACGGTTGATTTTTGTTTATGTCTATCTGAGTGTTTACAGATGCCTATCATTCTTTCTGATGCATAAACTAGAGTGAGTGTATTCCTTCAGTACCCCTGCTTTCTCTCCCAGTCCCTGAGAGTTCACGAACACAAGGCTGAGAGTCGGCATTTTCTGTAAGACCGTGAAAGCACTTTCTCTAAACTTGTATCTGAAAATAGCTGCACAAATTAGGTTTATTTTTTTGCTTTACGGCTTTAATTTCAGAAAACAGAGACAAAGTGAAGTTTGGTAGGCAGAGCACTGAACCAGGAGTCAAGCGACCAGGCTTCTCGCTTGATTTCACTTACTAACCAGAGCGGTATGAACTTGGGCAAGCATTTCATATAAAACAAAGCTCCTGTCTAGTTCCAAATGTCAAGATTTTACGATTCTTCCAGGAAGCAGCAAGTTACCGACAAAAAGACAAGCTGCCACCTGTCCAGAGTGGCACTGCCAAGGCCCCCACCCTCCCTAGGATGCTACTGAACAGAGGCCCACACCCCTGCAGAGAGCAGTGAACTGGGGGCTCCAGAGCCCAGGACACAGGGGACCTCCTCTGTCAGGCCCGGGCTACTTACTCATATGCCTAGAGAAAGGGTAAGTAGTTCAACTGGCAGCTGAAGTAAAATAACTGGCAATAACAATGTGAACCTTCAAAAAATATTATAGAACCGTGAAGTATTAGATAAAATGCCTTAAAAATTGTACTTTAAATTAATTTATACTCATAGGTATTTATCTAAGGGAATTAGAAGCCATGTCTACATAAAAATTTGTAGGTAAATTCCCAAGGTAGCATTTTCCACAACAGCCTACAAATGGCAGGAGGTCAATATCTATCAACAGGTGAATACATATAACTGCAAAGCATATGCATTATAAATTACATGTAATTTATATGTACAATTCAGCTACATACAATACATTACAAAATATTAACTACAGTTATTGAAGTTAAATTATACATATAATTCAGCAACATAGTGATCAAAACGAATGGGTACTGACTCCTGCTGTAACATGGACAAACCAGAAAACTGTGCTAAATGAAAGATGTCAGATACAAAAGGACACCTCTTGTGTAATTCCACTTTATAAAACAGAGACAGGCAAGAACTTGGTGATAGGAAGCCCAACAGTAGCTGCCAGGGGCTGTGAGCAGGGGAAATGTGCAGTGACTAAAATGGGTCTGGTCTGTACGAGGTTCCTTTCTGGGTGATAAAAACGTTCTGGAATCAGGTAACAGTGATTGCACAAGACTGTGAGCATACTGAAAACCACTTGATTGGGGTAGGCAGGCAGCTGGGGAGTGGCAAGAAATTAAAGGCTCTAACACCTAAGCTGCAGGCACTGCTCGAATCCCCGTATCTTCTGCAC